ATTTTATTGTTAACTTGGGTGAAAAAACTTGTACTTGTAGACGGTTTCAATTAGGACATTTATCGTGCGAGCATGCAGTAGCTGCGGTATAGAAGAATGGCTATTCAATTTACTAGTTTTGCTCTCTATATTATACTGTTGAATATTAGAGACTAACTTACAATAATAGTATTTTTTCAGTGCCAAATGAAGTTTATTTGGAAATTCTTAAAAATTTTGGCTTCCTCAATGTGTTGCTGCCATTAGTACGACAACGAAGTGGATGTACTAAAACAAGGATTCTGTCTACTCGAGAGTTTTCGAAAAGACACAAGTGTAATAGGTGTGCCGCAATTGGACACAACCGAATAACATGTACAAGTCAGATACCTTTAGCTGATAGAAGATTGGATGACTAATATATTGTTTGTTTGGTTGATTTCATGTCATTTGGATAACAATGCAAATTGATTTCTACTTATTACAATTTATACTCTACATTGTGAGTTTTTATCGTAATTCATGCCAAAATTATGTTTTATGAATATTGGGAAGTTTTTTGCATGTTCGTTTATTTCATATAATAAGTGATGAATAGAAAACAACTCCGATCGTTTTAAACGACCGGAGTCATTTTCAGTTTTACTAAGGCTCCGACCATTGTTTACAAAAAGGAATCCAGTTGTTTAAAATGACTAGAGTCATTTTACATGAAAACGACCATAGTCACTTTAAACGACTCGTTTCACATGAAAATGACTGCAGTCGTTTAACACGACTTAAGTTGTCTTAAATGACTCTCATCTCATTTTTCAATCAAATGCTCGGTTTTCTATACATTTTCTAACAAAATAACTTGAAATCAAACCAACGATTTAGAATGTTATACAATATAATCTAGCTTATCCAAATCAATCGACTAAATGCTTTTATGATTTAGCTTATCCAAATCAATTCGCATATCTTTCATTATACATTATTGTAAATTACATACTTAGAAACTAAATACAGTTCACTTGAAAATTGTTAGTGGAGTATGATGAATTGTATATAATGGAGTTTATCTTATTATTCGTTTTAAACAGATAGGCTGAAATCAAACACGAACTATAATGTTAGAAGTTTGGTTCGCACATCATCTTGTATTTTACATTATTGTAAGTCACATAATTTGAAATGAAATACAGTATACTTAAATATTGTTAGTAGAGCACAATGAATAAGGAAAAAGGGAAGAGATGGCTGTGTTGGGTTGTGGTTGGTGGTTGGGTGGGTGGGTAAAAGGGGGCTGTTGGTGGCTGTCAGGAAATAATGAATAATGAATCTTGCAGTACCACATCAGAATTTTTGAAATTATGTAAGACTTCTGTGATAAAATTTCTGACATTGTTACATGCTCCTCGTATGAGAATCGCCCCCGTGATTTTGTCCTTTACAAAAGAATGAAAGGGGTGAAACTCAACAAA